AACTCTTAAATTTGTAAATTTCAAAAAACCAATTATGTGAATTAGTTCTTATTCAATGCTATTCAATTTCTTCTTGTCATTTTCCTGTTAGAGTATATAAAATAACTGTTGGTGAAATATGGAATAACTAGAATAGACCAGTAAAAAACTAATCTGGATTTCCGGATTTGGTGGAGTTGATTCAATATCAATAGGTTTTAGTGTAACTGAAATCAAGCAACCTGTCCATAGTCAAAGGGTGTAGCTCGAATTTAAATAATGCTAGCATGGCTTGAGAGTAAAAAGATTTTTTTTAAATGATGGTAGGAACAACCTGACCTTCAACTTCCAAGCAATGATGTCATCATCTGTAATTACAGCCTTTTGATGCATAAGGAAAAGACTGATATGCAGAGGCAAGTTGAATGAAGCACCAGTGTGACCATTGCTGTAAATACTGAGTCGGCTTCTACTGTAAATATTTCAAAAATTGGGAAAAGTAGCAAATAGAATTTTAAGAAGTATTAAGATTTGGAAATTAAGATTAAGATGTGGAAACCTGTCTAATCCTGTGAGAAATTTAAGAATTACAATTACTATCTTTTTTCATATGTCGATGAGATGGTTAGTGGTAAATGTGATCATGATGGCATTGTAACACTTTCTGTCCTTTAAAACCTTGTGTGCTGAGCCAGTCAATCAACCAGCAAACAAAGCAAATTAGTAAGGTTTGCCAGGATGTAAATCAGCGTAGCTATTTTTATAGTCCATACTAGATGCGTCCAGTTAATCCAAAACCTGCGTTTATCTGACCTTTAAAAATTATTTTACTTATTCTGGACATATAGAACATAACATAGTATATTTTCTGTATCCTATTCTATTCTATTTCCTTTGCCGTGAAACAAAGGAAATGGAGGATGGAAAGTCCTCAGTAACTATTTTTAAAAATCAGAGTAAACTCCAATTACATAATCCTTGTGACAGTTTCTCATGTATGATGGAGGCAGGAAGGAATATTGTTAGAGCATGCTGCAGTTCAGTAATTTTTAGCTGCCAGATGATCCCTGGAGCCTGATGTTATCCGACTAGTACAGAAACATCTCTTAGCTTATTGCAACTTGAGCCAGGAACTAGAAGAGAATGACAGCCATAAATACTTCCCTGTTGGCCCCGTCTATAGCACCTATCAGAAACTCAGCACAGGAGATAAGCTTTCCAAGGTAAATTTGGTAGGTTCTCAAATTTCCAAATTCTTTTTGCCATGAAATGTTCCACTGAATCTTACAGTATTACCATTATGGTTACCTAAAGGAAAAAAAAATAATGTTTGCTTTAGTTTTGTTACCAGAGAAAGAGAAAAGAAAATGAAAACATAATTATTATATCATTTAATTACAAAAGAAAATGTATTCAAATCTATTCTTGATGAAACTATGAGTACTGTATACATAAACAGAGAAGTTGCCCAAATTGGTTGCAGGAACTAATTTGATGGTGATATTCTCTCTCTGATGGAGCAGACCCAGGTAGTAAATCATTATTGGTTGCCTAATGAGAAGATCCTACTGTGAAAATAAACAGCTGTCCACAATAAAGACATTGTTTACAAGAAACCATTACATGTCAGAGAGTTCATTCCCTTGAGAAAGCAGCAAAGGCATGAAATACTGAGCAGTTGGATTTTTTTCTACGATGTTTATTTCAAAGAAAAATATTTGAATTTTTTTTTTAAAGCTTTATTTTTAGGTTCTAATAGCATGATCTTTTTTTGTATTATCACTTCAGTTTGCTTGGAAGAAAAGACTGTAACTACTCTTTTTTGAGATTGCTGCATAGTACATATGTTCCTGAATTTGTTATGGTTGTATGCATACACTGTAGCTGGAGAAGTTTTTCTCAGCCCTGTCTCGTGGGGCATATAACAGCCCTGCCTCTCCTCATTAATATCTTCCAATAAATTTTCATTACAAGAATTTCACTTCCAGTCAGTTCGATGCTCCTCAGGTGGGACTGTATCTGGGGGCAAAACCTAGTCTTCTGTGACCTATCATTGAACAGGGTCAACAAGAAGCTGTGGTCTTTCCTGTGGAAAGACCAAAATCTTGCTCATACAACTTGACCCCTCTATAAATGTCTTCTGACTATTTAAAATATGACTAAACTGAGCTGAGGTGACTATCATCAAGGGCTTGAAACAGAATGAAATGGTGGGCAGAAAACTGTGTTCATTACCATCAGCACCAATCTGTATTTCTAACTATCTGTCCTTTGAGTGATGCATCTTTGAGATACTTCCACATCTGCAAGATTTTCTGATTTCACTTGCAAGGCTTTCATGTGCTAAACAGCTAAAGGGCAGCTGTGCTTAAGCAGAGCCACACAAGCTTCACAGCAAAAGAACAGTGACAGAAACTCAGGGACTGCTGAAGTGCCGGGGAGTTTGTGTTCTTTACAGGTTTAGCTCTTTGTCAGAGACAATCGTTCTGTTTGTTTCTCACATCAGTAAGTAAATAAGTGCACTAAGTACACTTAACTAGACTTGTGTGGAGCATTTCTCACTCTAGAAGTCATTTCTTAGCTTTCTAGATGGTGCCTGTATTACCACGTGTCTCAGCAGCAGTGTAGTCCCTTGTTTGGTATCTCCGTACACAGCGCAGGGCTTTTTCAAAGCAAGTCTTGGATTCCTCAGTCAAGGAGGTTCATTGATAATTATCTGTTGATGAGTCTGTCCATAGAATGAAAGAAGATGATATTTCATATTCTGGAGCAAAAGACGATAAGACTTTCAGCTCAATTAAGGTGCTCCTAACACTTGTATTTAGTCTTCAGCCTCACTGTGAGATTTCCAAAGACTATGGCAAGGCCTTGGTGTGTGTCTTCTTGTCAAATCCCTGTCCCTCCTTTGATGAGCGAGGCTTTCAAATCACAGGATACTCATTCACATTCTGCATGTAAACAGTTTTCCAGGTAGATGCCAGGCCAGGCAGGAAAGCATAAGAGAGACTTAAGTCGTTCTGGAATGCCATCCAAGTTCTTCCATGTTAGGAATGTTTTTATGAGGATTCGCCTTAAGTTCCTTTGTAAGGCTGTATAAAAATTAGTTTGATTCATCATATTAACACATATGTATTACTTTCTGAATGAAATTAATTCAGATCTAAGATTTCTTTGCACACTTGCAATGATTAAGGAAGAGCCCTTTTATGTTTTAAGACTGCATACCTCAAGGACTAGCAGTTTTGATGTAGATGCTTTTCAACAAAGTTGGAATTGTCTGTGCCTGTGACAAGGAAGGTTCACTCTGTCAGACCTCAGGTAACACCTGAGGTTATGAACAGCATGTCTCTATTTTGGATGTCTGCCAGACTGCCACCTGAACTTTCGGTTACGCTTTCATCAAGTGTAACAGTATTCCTTTAGAGGAACTGTTTGTCGGTCTGTATTTGACCAGAATTTTTAAGACCTCATTCAGATATGTAGTGTTTCTATGGGGAGTATTTCTTAGAATCATGCATGCTGTGAAAGTGTCTGTAAGTTGGAAAGGCCATAAAGTTTACATTCTTGCAACTATTCTTCTTTATCCTTTGTTAGCTACGTTAATGTAACTGGCTATTTCCTTCCCTTTGAAATCTCTGTTATACTTCCAAGAATTCTTTCAGGTCAGTAGGACTGAGAGGGAGAACCTTCTGTCATTGCTTTCATGGAGGCATTTGTGACTTGTGCAGATGGAGGAGATTATTTGTGTTCCTGCAGAAGTTGGTTAGGCAACAATTCTCTAGCTTACAGCATTAGAGCTGCTTTTGTTTATTTGGAGTTTGGGTTTTTTTGGAGTGGATTTGCCCACAGAGTGGAAGTATGTATTAGAGATCCACCTCAATTACAAATAAATAAGCTTTCTTCTGTGAACTCTGCAGGCTGTCAGTTGAGGCCCACAGACGTGAGATTTGAATGTAATCATTGTCTTAATGCAGAGCTGCAGGTGTTACAGCACATTTAGGAACATGGAGCACATGTCTTTGTGACCCACAAAGAAAGGTACTCTATAAATTCACAGACACTGTAAAGACCACCATGACTATGCACAGTCAAAGGCATTTTCCCCACAATCTGAACTAAAACATTTCTTTAATAATACAGTTCTAAAGGTATGAAGTAATGGCATGAAGTAATGTGGAGCTTTTGGCCTCCTGCTAAGTCATTCTGGTGCTTGGTTACCATCACAGCTGGGAAGCTATGCCTTATTTCATAGTTCTCTCTATCTTCTGACCTGATTTGCACTAACATTACATTGTTCAAACAGCATTAACATTTAGAGAAGGTAAGAATGATATTTTATGTCCCTTTAATGGTCCTTCACAGTGCCATAAAATGGTAACAGCATCGCAAAATATGTCCGAACAGCAGTTTCCCATGTACCTGCAGGCATGTGGACATTTTTAAGCCAGCTGTAGGTTATCTAGCTGAGATACTGCTAGAAAGGCAGCTACTGCAGTGCACAGCTCTATGGAGGATGGAAATTTCATCAGAGGAGCTGAGTACATTCTTGTGCAATTAATCCTCGCTGATCCGTTACATCGCTCACAGTGTTCAGGAAAGTTGTCACTGATGGCTATTAGCATGCTCCAAGTTGAGTATGTGTTTATATAACTTGTTGAACTGGGTCATATGTGTTAGGATTTTCCAGGATGATATAAGTTGCATTAGAAAGCACCCCTGTTATAGTGATAGTACTTGGATTCACAATCGGTAATTCAGAGTCACAAAAGTAAAATATTAGTGTTTGTTTTGTGCCTTATTTTATTTAGGTATTAAGACAGTGCAATATCCTGCCTTAACATAGAATGAATGTATGAGCTGATAAAATAAGTGCAGATATGCCAAATATTTTTTACCAAATACGTTTAAATTATAATAGGTTTTGTAAGTTGAAATAGTAGCATTCTGTTTTCAAAATAATTTTTTATGTTAAAATGTATGAAGTATTTGTAAGTTCATATAAATGCTATTTTTATTCACAGATAATGCACCTCAGGTAGCAGTTACCGCACCAGGATCTGGTAACCATAGAAACAGCTCGACAGGCCCAACACCTGACTGCTCTCCTCCATCACCAGACACTGCACTTAAAAATATAGTGAAAGTTATACGTCCTCAGGTAGGTGATCACCATAAGAATCCTCTTATTAGTTGTATTTTTCATTTTAAAAGCAGGATATGATGCATGTATTTTAAGAGGATGTTATCACTATACACATATAAATAGGTCAAAGACAGATAAACAGAACATGAAGTATTTTTTATATTTAGGAAGCAATCTTGATAGCAGGAGAAGATAGAATATTTTATGAATGAGCCCAACAATGTACAGAAAGTTATCAGTAGATTTTTCTTATAGCATTAATAATGAAGTCTTTATGTAATATTTTGTATTTTTATGTACTACTAGTTTTCTTCCAAGTTTATGTTCTGTTTTTATCAGTATTAATTCCCTGTTACTTTTTCAGGTTTTCTTTGCTCTTTCTGTATCTCCATTTACATGGTCCCATAATGTTTCATACCTTCTTTAGTTTAGCTTCTTGTGTAGTATGTTTCTCGACTTTCATCCTTCCTAACTATATGTATTTCTAATAGTGTTTGGTAAACAGGATGCTTAATGCGTGGAAGACTTGAGTGCCCCTTGTAATTCTTTTAAGAGTACAGCCTTTTAAAATAAAAGCTTTAAAATAAGTAAATCTTAGAGTTTGATTCAGTATTATAGAGGTAATTAGAATGACAGGATCATAGGATAACATAGATCAGAAGAAACCTCAGGGGATTATCAGTTCCCTGCTTAAACAGGCATGACATTAGCTGTGCCAGAGCTAGCTGTGATAGCTACACACTGAATTGACTAATTGTGAAACTTTTTTGGTGTGAACCAAAAGAACTTCTATTCCTCTCCTACCAGTTATTGGGTTCAAATGCAGCCATCTGTTCTTCATTGCTGAGCTGATCTCTGCAACAGAGCCACTTTGATGCTAGTGGATGCAGGCTTTGTATCATCAGTATGTTGCTGACATTTGTGTTGCTTGAGAAGTAAGCTGATGGATACATGATATTTTTGTGATAATTATATAGGGCAGATTGTTTTGGTGCCGCACAAGTGAGTGTGTTACAGTGATGGAGGTAGATCTTCCTTTCAATATCATTCAAGCACACAGTTCAGAAGGTCTTGCAGAATTAAAGGTAATTACTAGGTGCACTTGCCGTTTCTCTCTAGGAGCCATTGGTTTCCTATGGCTGACACTGTCAGTGCACAATAATTGTAACAACTGGCTCGTGCAGCCCATCCCTCTGTGACACTACGGTTGTTTGGGTTCCACATCCTGGTTTAAATCTAGATTGCAGGGGGTCTAAAATAACAGCTTCTTCTCCTTTTCTCTTTTTATAGTTGCTTCTTGTTTTGCTTGTTCCTGTAGTCTCTCTGTCCCTCCCACCCTACATCAGTATAGTACTGAAATGCCTCCTTCCCTCTAAGCTGTTTTTTATAGTAGGCGGCAAGCAAACAGAAAGGTATTGGAATATTGTTGGAACAAGCTGTTGTGTGATAGCTTATTGAAAATAGCATTTAAAAAGCTGTTTCCATCATGATATTGCCAACAGATGGACCCAGAACACTGAATGGTGATGTTCTCCTGCTAGTTAACTCTGAATGGATTCAGCAGATTCTGGGGAGCTATTTTCAAATTTAAATCATACCATTTACTGACTCCCAGTGTTCTCATCGTTACGCAGAACAAAAGCTAGCTGTGCGATATATATGGTCAGAACTTGATCACGTTTGCTAAAATGTCTCTCATGTGGCCCTACATGTGGCATACTTCCTATGCAGAAAACAAAAGCAGAAAGGCACATGTAGGCTAATGTTTAATGTATGTTGTAAATGTATGCGCTAATACATGAGAAGCTGGATGCACTATAGCATTCAGGTCCCATTATGCTTCTCCTTTCTCCATGTGTTTTATGCACATTGCTTCAGTATTCTTCCTTTTCTTTGTTTTTGTTGCTTATCTAATCACCTCCCCCCAAGATCTCAACCCAAGAATTTAGACAAAGAAGTTGTAGATGTTTGCCATGTGATGTTTGCAAACCATTAATGTTAATTCTGCCTGCATATTTAATTCCTTTATTCCATGCATGCTGCATTCAATTACATGGCAAGCTCTTTGAAGGTTAACACAATGGGATTCTATTCTTGACTGACCTCTCACCACTCATGTAAAACTAATGAATAGTGTTACACAATGCATGCAAAATAATTAATTTTCTGTTGTCTGCCAGGGCCTCTTTGCAGTTCTCTAGCAAAATAAACAGATTTAAGCAGATCTAAAACAGGGATCATATAAATTTCCAAAACATCTGTCACTCCTTTCCCCTTTTCATATGGCTTGTGTACCCAGCATTGAAGGTGGCAGCGAAAGGCAGAATGGAAAACTCTTTTAACAGTTAGTTTTGCACTACACAGGCTTTGGTAGCTTGGATGAAACTGCCAGGGAAGTCTGGCCTTTCAACTCGTATTGTTATTTTCATTTATAGCCTTATCTTTTCTGGAGGGTTGTGCATATAACAGTTTACACGCAGTGAGGAGAAACACTGTGTTAAATACTCTCTGTGATCTGTGTAAGCAGCAGCAGAGGGGACTAAAGATTCCTTCTTCCCACCAGTATGGTGGGGGCAGGCAGTGGCAAAGAGTGGAGAAAAAGAAACCTGGTGAGCTGGGTTCGGAGGCAGAGGTGGGGGTCATTCTGCCTCCTGTTTTCTTTGGCCAGGTGCCTAAGACTGTGTGCCAGCTCACATAATGGCAGTGCATATACATGCTTCAACTCATGACAGATTCTGAAGCTGTTTGTATGAATATGAGGTTTAGCACAGCACGGTGGCCTCTCCCCTCTCCTGTTCCAGACACTCACATGCCAAACCCACCTTGGTGGGGGAATCTGTCAGCTACACCTGCTACATAGTCCCTGAAGAGGGAGGAGGCTGTGATGCTGCACTGCCAGCCCATGGAGTGAAAGTACCTCTCTAAAATCTATCTAAAAACTCTCTTTGAATACATCTCAACTATTCAATTCAGTGTCCTATTACTAAAGCTGAAGTCTATTTTAACTGAAATGGTGTATCTCCCTGGCACAGTGAAGCACTCTGGAGATATGCTAACTCAGATCTTAGAAGCAGTATTAAGTTCAGTGCCACAGTGCCACCCACCTCTGCTGCTTCCAGTCCTGCAGATAGCTCACTTAACAGTAATTCAGGGATGTGTGCTGTTATCTGTGCACCTTAGCTATGGCCTGTACCTGTGATCTAGCATTTTGCAAAAACACGTCTTGTTTTCAAATTTTCACAGGGTCAGTCTCTGAAAAAGAGAATTTGTTGAAAAGTTACATATATGCAGATAAAAACCAAACAATTTATTTCAGAGTTTGAATCACTTGATAATTTTTTTCCAGATTGTCCAGACAAATCTTAATAAGTTTTTAACTCATGAATTGCTGATTAATGAAGACTTTGAGAAAATAATACACTTTCAAGTTAAAGAATATGCCTCTGTGAAGTATACTAAGAGCACATGGGAGAAAAAATGAGATATGGTAGAAGGCTAAGTAGGTTAATGTGTGTCCTGGTTTCAGCTGGGACAGAGTTCCTTTTCTTCCTAGTAGCTGGTATAGTGCTGTGTTTTGGATTTAGGATGAGAATGATGTTGATAACACACTGATGCTTTAGTTGTTGCTAAGTAGTGCTTACATTAGCCAAGGACTTTTCAGCTTCCCGTGCTCTGCCTGGTGCACAAGAAGCTGGGAGGGGGCACAGCCAGGACAGCTGACCCAGACTGGCCAAAGGGCTATGCCATACCGTATGACGTCACGCTCAGTATATAAACTGGGCGAGTTGGCCGGGGGGCAGCGATGGCTGCCCAGGGATGTTCTGGGCATTGGTCAGTGGGTGGTGAGCAATTGTTCAGTGTATCACTTGCTTTGTACATTATTATTGTGTTATTATTTTTTTATTATTATTACTACTACTATTACTACTTTATTATTATTATTATTACTACTGTTCTATTTTATTTTACTTCAATTATTAAACTGTTCTTATCTCAACCTGTGAGTTTTCTCCCTTTTACCCTTCTGATTCTCTCCCCAATCCCACCGGTGGGATTGCTGGCTGGGGTTAAACCACGACAATGTGTTAACTAAAGTTGTCTGAAATTTTAGGCCCTCTTCCAAGTTCTAACTTAGTTATGTTAGTACAAATAGTAAAATATAACTTACCTTATCAGAACTGGAATTTTAGAAAGTAATAGTAAAATTGAGCTTGTTCTACAGTTCCTACAGCTGTCAGTCTGGATGAAGCCTGAACAAAATTGGGCTACATGTGACGCTTCATGTTTTTCTTATATTAACCACTTAATTTAAGACTCTCCTTACTTTAACATATTTATTTGTTCAGCTGCACTGGAACAAATAAACTATATACACAGAGAAAGAAAGAACACATTTTTTTCCTAAGACTGTTTCTTTTGTCAGTGCTGTTCACTTGTGGGTCATTGGCCAATTCTTATAAAACAGAATTCTGACTTCTCACCTTTTAAATTCTTTATCAAATATAATCCAACATTTGCATATTCTCCTCTTGTCTTTTTAACATATGATTCAAATGGGTAACTGTAGGTACAGCTTTTGATGTCTAACTCCCTAAGAGTATTATTTCAGTGATATGAAGCGGGCTTCTGGTAGAAAGGCAAAGGAACAGAGAATTTCAGTGTTTCTGACATAATGGAATTCCATCATCTTGTTCTTGCTGGTTTTATTGCTAAGATCCGCAATAATCTATTCATTATAACGTTTTTTTTCTTGTGGGTTTGGATGTGCTGTCTTTACATTAGTCATAATTTTTTCTATTTATCTTTTTTAATCTCTTTAAGCAAAATTACAATTCCATCTATGTTTCATCGTTCCTCTGGCTAAGACATCTAGCAATATAATAGAAGAAAATAGTTTAAATGTTAGAGGACAAAAGAAACTGCCTCATTTTTCTGCAAGCAGTAATAGAATCCTGCAGGACATCTGTATCTTCTGATAGACCTATCCCTCTTGTTTCGGCTACCAGTTGTGCCTT